ACCTAAAACACACAGTCTGAGCGTGGGAAAGATATTTTCCCAAGAGAAAAGAGTGGTTCTGTTAGCAGCAGCAGAAGAAATGGTGGGTGGGCAAACAACAGAAGTTCACTTAAAGGATCATGACTGTGCTGGCTATTGTGTCCCCAGAGCTCAGTACAATGCCTGCCACATAGGGCATGCTCTTTCAGTATTTGTTAAATGAATGAATGAATGAATTCAGACACTACCTTTATATTCCATTTCCTCCTGGGGGAGCTCAATGGAAGATGAGTTCTTCAAGAGTTTCCAGGAGTTCTAGTGGATAGCCTAATTTTAATGACCCCTGGATTTGCCCAGTTGGAGAAACAATCTTCTTCTCCCCATAGGGATCCATCCCTTTTCCCAGCATGGTCTCAGAAGGAAAATCTGGCAATATTCCTCCAAACTTAAAAATACAACAGAAATTTCTCTGAAGCAGCTGAGTAGTACACTGATTCTTTTTAAAATTCATTTATTCTGCAAATATTTACTGAGCATCTATTATATGTCAGACACTATGCTAGGTACTAGAATATAGGTATAAAAAGTCATAACCTCTTGCTTTAAGAAGCTGCAGCCTAGTGGAGAGACCAAGTGATCAAAAAACTGGAGGCAGCCCATGGAGTAAAAGATTATGGGCTTTGGTCCTGGATTTGAAATCTGGCTCCACCACTTAATTACCATATAACATCAGGAGAGTTATTAACCTCTTCAAACCTCTTTTTTTCTTATCAGTAAGATTAGCTACAATAATATCACCAACTTCACAGAGGTGTCGTGTGAATTAAATGATAATACATGTGTACAACATGTAGCTAGAGCCTGGAACAAATGAGAGTGCTTCTAGTTGATGCTGTAGAAGTTCCGAAAAAGAGCAACTCATCCCGGAGATGTCAAAGGTCTGATGGCAGAGATAAGGTTTGAGCTGGTTATTAAGAATGAGCTGGGGATCACAAAACAGAGGGCCTAAGGAGAGTGCATTCTGAGAGAGGGAATGGTTTATTCAAAGCTTTGGAAACCCGAAGAAAATTGGTCATTTACAGAGCAGCAAATATTTCCTGATGCCTTGTATATTGCTGGGATAGTGACAGTCGTGGAAAGATATGAAATACTGACATTCAGAGAAAGAATAAGGATCCTGGGACTTCTTTGTCCACTGGAAGTATAGGGCACCTGGGGATCCTTCCCAATTACCGCAAATCATTGGTGTCCTAGGTAAGTGGGTGGCAAAATCGCCAGTATCTCCTGTACACACCCTAAGATGGTGCCTTGCAGATGGATGGAGAAGTTGAGGGTCCATTTAAGGTTCCTTCCAAATGACTTGCAGTCATTCACAATATTCATTATTCAGAATCTGAGTGAAGCAGGGATGGTGAGTTGGTGGAAGTTGGGGGAGTAGGGGATGGCTTGACTCCTAGGGGAAAGGTTGGGGGGTTTAACGAGATAATATCCATAAAGCACTTTGATCTCCCTGAGGCGCCATGCCGCACCTCCTGTTTGGGGACTATGAGATCTGGTGAGATAGTGTTTCTAAGTAGAGATGCCAGAGTAAGGAATGCTAGACCAAACAAAGGGGAAGAAAGATTTGCTCCTTAAGTGGTTTCCCTCATCAGCATCAAGGCTAGAACCAGCCATCACAGAAAGCACAAAAAAATGCCAGTTTGCCAATTCGGGGCCTTGGGTCCAGACACTCAGGCTGTGTAATGGCATCTTTCACCAGGAAGGAGCCCACCCCTTCCTGATGCCAGCCAAATGCCAGGCTCACATCAAAGAGACTGACAGGGCTCTTGAGCCTTCCTTTCAGCTCTGGTCCTGACCCTTTCTCTCTAGCCCAGCTCATATCCCTCGTCCCCACCTAATTCAGATTGCCAGTTGTGACAGAGGATAAGAGGGCCAGCTTCCAGAATTCCAAATTTCTGACTAGCTGGGAACTGATGCCAGAGGTCCCTCATGGTTGCATACCATAGCAAGAACACATGCTTTGCCACCAGGATGGGTGGAGGAGGGTTGGGCTGGGCTGTGTGAGGTAATGGTCTTCTCTTCTCCTACCCTGCTGCATGCCTCCTTTTTCTAGACCATTCCCTCATCCCTGCCTGGCATTATAGAGACACAGGAGCAGCTCCAGTCCCATGAAACTCTGGATGCTCAACTGTGTGCCCTTCGAGCCACATTCTCCCATCATGTTCCATATGAATCCTTTCAGATCCATATCAGGGCAACTGGCTAGCTTTTCATCCAACCTATTCATGTGTCCTGGGGAGAAACTGAAAGGGTGAAACAGTAAAATATTCACAAGGAAGGGAGAAGTTTAATTCTCTTTATTCCCTCACCCAAAGTTTGCCCCCTTTCACCATGACCCAGTTTTATGTCCCCAATGACTCAATTTGAACAGGATCCATTTTAGAATCCCTTCTTACACATTTCTATCAGTTAGAATGAAACTAACTGCTGCAACAGATGAACTCCAAAATTTCAGAGGCCTGACTTTGCAAAAAGCTTGTTTTTTATTCACAATGTGTGTGTTTTTCTGCCATTATGGGAGCATGTCAAGGGGCAGGGAGAGGGGGTCGTATCACCGAATATGTCCCCAGCGTCATGGCATTAAGAGATGGGCTTTTGGGTGGTGATTAGGTCATGAGAGCAGAGCCCCCAAGAACAGGATTAGTGCCCCAATAAGAGACACAAGAGAGATGATCTGATGCTCTACCATGTGAGGACACAGCAAGAAGACATCTATCTGCATCCCAGGAGGTGAGCTCTCACTAGGAACTGAACTGGCTGGCACCCTGATCTTGGATCATGAGGAAAAGATTTCTGTCATTTAAGCCACCCAGCCTATGGTATTTTTGTTATAGCAGCCTGAAGTGACTAATACAGAGGGGGGCATGTTTCCTTCAGAAATTCAAGATTGTCACCTTGAATAGCTCTGCCATCTTCATCAGGTGGCTTTCAAGATCATCCTGGGTGTCAACATTCACTTTGCAAAGGGGGAGGAGCATGAAGGATTAGAGATAAGAGACCATTGCAGGCCAGGCCTTGAAGGGGTGCCGCTCATGCCATTCATACCCCACGGACTAGAATGCAGTCACATAGCCCCAGGTAAGCACAACAAAGGCAATTCGTTGCTGTAGTCTTGCCACAGCAGCAGAAGCAAGAGTCAATAGGTTGGATGAAGAGCTAGCCTGTTGCCCTGATACAGATCTGCAAGGATCCATATGGAAGATGATGTGAGAATCTGGCTCGAAGGGCACACAGTGGAGGTGTTGGAAGGAGGGCAGCAACACCTGCAGATCTGAGTTAAACCCGTGGTAACCAGCAAAGATGTAAAGAAGATGAGATGTTAGTCTCAGGTCTCAAAAGCTGCTTGCAGGAAACTTGTGAGCTGGGGAGTTGGACACAGGGCTGAGGTCCTAGAAGCCCAGGGCAATGGGGACCTGCCACATGCTGATAGTTCCAGGCAGAAACAAGAAGCTCAGCCACAGAGACAGTGGGACAAGCTTAGGGCTCAATAAAGGAACTGGTTAAAGAGCTCATCCTTGCATATTCTAAGTCTTTGAGGAAGATGACAGACATGTGGGAGGATAAGAGGTCTATGAGTAGGTACAAAAACCCTCTATGTGTGAAGGGGAGTGGCACGGGGGTTGGTAACTAACATCCCTGGGGTTAGGCAAAGAGCAGTGGGATTGCCTTAAAGAAGGAGGCGCAGAAGGAAAGAGTCAGACGATGTTCTGGACAGGTGAGTGGGAAGGTAGGAGGATCCCAAAGCCATTGATGGTCCTGAGGTGGAAGGGGTGAGAGGGCCTTCGCTTGAGAAGGCCATGGAGCAGGGCAGCTGCCCAGGGTCTGGGTCCAGGTGGGGCAGTGGAGGCTCTTACAGAGGCCCAGCACAGAGCTCCAAGGGGAGAATGGCCTGGCAGTGGGCCAGGGCTGAGCTGGGTGGGACTTGGAGAAAGTGGAGAGTACAGGTCCCCAGGTGGACCTTGGGCTGAGGGAGGCTATGAGCCCAGTGGGATGATCGATGCATTCCACCATATGTAAATTACACCGATTTATTAAAGAATGGAATAAAAGCTCCCAAGGGCAATTTTTCAAATTATGTAAATTACATAGAAAAGTATCAGCCACTTCCTCCCAAATGAAGAGGTTTGTGTTATATACACATTTCTGTAAAGGCATAAAATGTGAAGAAGATAAAATTACTTTAAAAATGTATATAAACTGCTAATAGGTGAGCAATAATGAATATTTTAAAAAGACCCGAGACTCAAAGAAACAAATCGTTCTGCTGCTCTTTTTCTCACTCACATTAGGCTTATCCGAGCTGGCAAATGTTTCAGCTCAGGTTGGAAATGCCCGACAGAGAAGTAGAAAGCGACTTTCATTGGGGGAAGGAAAAGGATGGCTTCTACTTTAAAGATTAAATTTCTATCTGGGAGCTGTAACAGCACTGTCAAATAATTATTATTGTTATTTTTACAAATCTATTTCCCTTTAAAACAAGTTGGGAAATTTCTGACTTAGTTTAAATGAGACCTCAATTCTCCCAGGCCTGATCAGCCACCTGAGGCAGGGTCTCCTGCTGGAAAAGTGCTGTGCTGAGTCATTAAAATGGCAGCTCCCACTGAGAGAAATAACGGAGCCAGATTCTCCAGGCAGAGCTGCTGAGCGGTAGGGGGAGGGAGGGAGGGAAGCTAATTTTTCCAGGCAGATCTGAATGCTTCTTTTTCTTAGGCACTCTTAGTCAATATTTATCTAGCTATTCACGGAATTATAACTAATCATTTATCTCTTTTCCTTTTCATTATATTTCTCTGCCTCTTTGTGGTATGCTGAACTTAAGCAACAGAAGGAAGTTCTGGCTTCTTCGTTGCACATCTGAAGACGTCAGAAGTTAAACTTCTGGCTGAGGCATAATCAAATTGTGTAACTCAGTTGGTGCAAGACCTATGAAAAATAAGCCTTATCCATCCCCCTCCTTCTGTGTGTGGATTTATAGAGAGTCAAACTTCAGGAAGTATGATTTGTTTTTCTAGAGTCTTTTTTATTTTTGTTTTTTGCCATGATACCATTTTGGGGTGTTACTAGCCCAGTCGTTCTCTGACTTTGGACATTAGAAGTTTCCCTGGGAGAAGAAATTTTGTTTGCCATTGTGAAGTGCAGCAGGATGCACTGCAGATGTCATCTTGACAGTAAAAGGTCGTCTCAACTTGCATTTCTCTAAGAATCCTGGAGGAGCCAAGGCCTTCGACCAAGCCCTTTTGGGGGCTGGGGGGAGACACCAAAGTGCTTGATCATAGTCCCTAGAGGACAAGAAGCCAGAGGATAAGACGTTAAAGGTGAAGCTCCCCGGGAAACACTGTGAAAGGCAGTTTGTGCACAGATGTTTTCTTGGGAAGGAAGTGAAGGGAGAAGGGTTGGGTGAGTGGAAGGGAGAGTCAAACTGGGATGCAGATCCAGTGGACCCTGGGGGAGCTCTGAAGTGACTCTTCGGTGAGGTCCAAGATGGAGAAGACAGGACTGGGCCTGTGTCCCACCCTGACCAGTGATCGGAAGGAGGCTTTCCCAGGGAGGAGCTACCTTGGGAGAGGCAGCTCCCTCTAGCTAAGGACCATTTCCGTAGATGGCAGGCATCACTCCCAGCAGCTGGGGGGAATCCGAGAGGCACATCCCAGCACCCACTATGGGACCACTCCTTCTGTACACAATGTTGACTGCTGAAGCCTTTCTTGGATGCTAAGTGACTCTTCTCTGTCATTTACATGATCCTTCCACCTCTATTGTCTAGTTTCATAAAGCATAATAAAATGCTAGATGGGAAAGGAACGTGATCTAATTCAACAGCCTCATTTTATACATGGAGAAACGGAGGTCAAGAGAGTAGAAATAACCTACCCGAGGTCCTGTAGTTGTAGCAGAGCTGGGGCTGGAATCCGGGTCTCTGACTTCCATGCACCCAAGCTCCTCCCACTCTCCAGGGCCACTGCTGCCATTTGATTCCCACAGCGCCCCTGAAGCCGAGGCAGGAGAGGCATTGCAGATGGTGATGAAACAGATACAGATAGAGATATATGAAGACGAAGGGACAACAAAGCTCACTCAGAGAGAAAGTGGAAAGATTCCCAGCCAAGTCCGTTTGCTGACAGAGCTGGTTCTCTGTCCACCACAGCACACTGAGGGCCTCTCCCACGGGGCCCCACCTCTATTCAGTTCAGCTCAATGATCTTTTTTTCTTAGCACATGGACATTGTGCTAGGTCCTGGTGATAAAAAGATTAATAAGCTACTATATCAATTTTCAATGAGTTTGCTGCACTTAAGTGGGAAAAAAAGAACACAACTGCAAATCAGTTCTCTGTCACTCAGGAAATGTTCTGTTAGAACTAAACAATGCGGGCCACTGGGTGGCTCAGTCGGTTAAGTATCTGCCTTTGGCTCAGGTCATGATCTCAGGGTCCTGGGATCGAGCCCGAATGGGGCTCCTTGCTCAGCGGGGAGCCTGCTTCTCTCTCTGCCTCTCTCCCCCACTTGGGCTCTTACACTCTCTCTCTCAAATAAATAAACAAAATCTTTAAAAAAGAACGAAACAATGCCATCAGGGTACGACAGATGACCCTAGCTCAGCCTCAGGGCTTCCTGGAAGAGGCATACCTGAAGGTGTTCACATTTGAATAAGAGACCCAACACCTCTCCACCTGATCTTCCTTGGCATTCCCTAGCTCAGGCAGTGGCTCCATCATCTACTCAGTAACCAGAGCTGGGGACCTATAAGAGGGGGCCAGAGCTTGGCTTTCTTCCTCCTTCACCCTACCTGCAACAAGCCATCTGCTGCTGAGGACTCATTAAGCTGTCTCCACACCTCCCACTAACCCTCACCTCTGACCTAGTTTATATACCATGACTTCTTAACTTGATGAGTAAAACGACCTCCTATCTGGTCTCCTGCCTCCAGTTTTGCTCTGCCCTTTCCTTTCTGCCTGTACCATCTTAATAGGGCAAATAGTGTCTCAGCCAATTCCTGTTAAAAATCTCACTGCGGTGCTCGCTTTGGCAGCACATATACTAAAAATCTTACTGCGACCCCACACAGCTTTCTCCTAACATGAAGGCCTTGACACTTCTAGGGTTTCAGATACTGCTCATTTGCCTGGAAAGCCCTGAACTGAATCCCCTCCTGCTCTTTCTTCAACGTGCTCCTCAGACACCACTTCCTCCAGGAAGCCTTCCCTGATGTCCCCATTGCACCCTGTGTTTAACTCAATTGAGCCTTTACCACACCCTTCTGGACTCATTGGTCTAGTTTCATGTCTCTCCGACTAAGCTGTGAGCTCCTGGAAGGTAGGAGGTTGTGTGTGGGGGTGGGGTAGGGAGTGCTTATTTGATGTGTATTCCAAGCCCCTGCACGTGGAAGTGGATTGGTGGTTGTGCAAGAGAGGCAATTTTGGGCAGCAGGAATAGCTTGAGCTAAGGCTTGATGGCATGCAATGATGGTGCACTTAGGTTTATATGACAAAAAGTATCATGGTAATGTAAAGCAGGAGACAGTAAATTTTTCCTATTATGGCCAGAGAGTACATATTTTAGGTTTTTCAGGCCAAGAGACAAAATTGAAGACACTGTGTTGGTACTTGTATAACCATCTATATGTAACTGTTCAGAAATGTACAAACTATTGTTAACTTTTGCTCTGGACTTGGCCAGATTTGGCCCGTGGGCTGTCATCTGCCAGCTGTTGCCACAGAGGATGAGTAGATGAGGTCCACAGTGAGGGAAGAGGCTGGAGAAGTAAGCAGTTGCCTGATGTGGAGAACTAAAACGGCAGGTGTAAGACCTCGGATTTGATTCTATCATCGATGGCAAGCCCTCAAAGGATTTTAGGCATGAGAGTGAGCTGATCGGATCTGTATTTTATAAAGACTCAGTTGTCTGGAAGGGAGAAGGAAGTACCTTCATCTGGGCAGGCAAAACTGCACCAACCCAGTCACCACCTTCTGACTCCAACACGCAGGCATCTCAGATGGATCCCAGCACCATCTGTTCTCCTGAATGAAGCAGTCCTGGAAGGAGCTCCCAAGACCATAATCTCTTATATCTTCCTATATGGACTCGGGGCCTTGGGTTGGGAGAACATGTGGAATGGATCACTTTCCTCTGCCCAAGGAGAATGAATCAGATCATTTATCACCAATGGGACAGGGCCCACGAAGAACATTTCCTGTGGATCTGCAGATCCAGTTCTGCCTGGATCTCCTCATGACAATGGTTATGTACCTGACCTTGACTTCACATCAGTCCCAACTCCCACACTTAGTTCCAAAACAGGTCTTAAATCACTCAGGAGCCAAGCCAAGCCAGGCTGAAAGAGGAAACAGCTTTGGCCAGGTCTGTGTTCCAGCACAGTCTACAGACATCAAAAACAAAGACAGGCTAAAATCTAATGAAATCACTCTCAAACAATGAAAGCAAGATGTTGACATCCTCTTCAGGGTCTGGCCCAAATTAAGATAGTAATGTCCACGGATAAGACAGGCAACTGAGTCAGAAGCCTTTCCAGGGGGAGGTCTTAGCCGCTAAATCAGATGATGGCAATTACTGGATATTACCCATTTGTGAGTTAAATGGTTATCTGCTTTGGGATGTCTGTTTTGACACTGTGAGGCCACCCCCAGAATGATTAACTTAACAAAGGCCTCTAGGGTGACCACACCCACTTTTATTGCCTATATTAACTTTCCTTTACACACTTCCCTCTAAGAAAGCGACCTTGAACCTGACTCTACTGACTGGCTGAGGTCGTGGTAAGCATACTTCACCATTGTCTTTCTGCTTCTGCATTCATATTCAACTTCCTATAGAGGAAATGCATTTTAGTGCTGATGTGAGATCCAATCTGTTAGCTCCAGGCTACAAGGAGACCAAATTAGTCATTCAAATGCTGAGTCTTCACCAACTCATTCCCTCCCATCCCCCCTCACTTGATTCAGGTAAAGTGGCTTCCTTAGGGTTCTGCAAAGATCCTCTGCAGATTATGTCACCAAGGAAGGACAGAGGTCAGCCTTGACCAATGTTCTCTCAAGAGCTTTTGGTTTTCTGAGTTCTGTTCAGAATTGGGCTTTAGAAACATGGCTAATATGTATTAAAACTTGAGATTGGCCAACTTCAAAAATTTCAAATTATCTTAAGAAAGCCATCATGAGAAGTGTCTACAATTCTCCCTGAGTAACCTACCCAATATTTTGATGGTCAAATATTTAAGATGAAATATAATAACAGGGCGCCTGGGTGGCTCAGAAGGTTAAGCATCTGTCTTCGGCTCAGGTCATGATCCCAGGGTCCTGGGATCGAGTCCCGCATCGGGCTCTCTGCTCCTTGGGAGCCTGCTTCTCCCTCTGCCTCTCTCTCTCTCTGTCTCTCATGAATAAATAAATAAAAATCTTAAAAAAAAAAAAAAGAAATATAATAACAAGTTGCTAGGTCCCTTAAGGATCTTATAGTCCAGACCCTCCTATTTTCACATTTAATATCAAACTTTCAAATGGGTATCCTGGTGGGGAATGTGACTGAGAGTTTGAATTAAATGGAATCTGGGTAAAATACTGTGACTATAGTAGATTATCCCACTAAACCCTTGTCTACTTGGTGACCTGCAGAGCATTTATTTATTTTGTGCTGCAGCAAGATTTCTTCTGTACATCTTCAAGGAGAAGACCTTGTCTGACTGGTTACATTTAGTTGGCGAGTCTTTCTCAGAATCACAGGGCTCTGGGAGTGAGAGGTATTATAGGACATTTGTAAAGGATTATTTCTGGATTGCTAAACCACTTAGTGACCTATTTTGAGGTTATCCGGTTAAGACCAGGGTACTATCCTAAGAGGAAGAGGAAGCTCCTGGGGTAAAGATAACCCAGACATCCCCCACACACCACTACCACCAGTCTCTCAAACCGTTTGAGAACCGGTGAAGGGAGGCCGGTGACCAGGTATTAGAATTCTGCCTTCACGAGATTTTGCTAAGTCCTTATTTTATACCCAGAGGTCAGCTTTGAGGGCCTGGGCATATATTATAGTAGGGTAAAAATGAAGAGAAAAGTCTACAATGCTCACTATCAAAAGCCTATATAAACGAGAGACCGGGTCCCCAACCCACAAATCGGAACTTCTGGCCTTAAGATAAGGAATCATTCATAAGTTTGGGGAATCTGTGCAGTGGGTCATGGGGCGCAGTGACTCAGAATGGGAACCTGCACTGGTTCGCACATCCTCCTGCTTCTGCGTCCACTGGCCGGTAGATGCAAGGAACCAACACGTAGGAAATACGTGGGAGATGATAATCACTGCACCCGCTATGCCAGGCTCAGCCCACCATCCAACGTCACCCCGAATGTAGGAGGGAGATTGTTTTTAGTATGTGAGTTCAACACCAGAATTCACCTGATGCAGGAAAATGCTGAACGCCACTTGCTGGGAGAAGGCTGTCAACCACAGGAAGTACAGAAGTCCGAGAAAACCCCAAAGTGGAGATTGTGGCTTCTGCCTGGCAGATGCAACTGTGTTGGACTCTGTGGGGGTAGCTCTCCTAACCAGATCTCTGGACGGTCCAATATTTCACAGAATCACCGTGACTTCCCCTGGGCTCCTTTCCTGCCGCTGAACACATGCAAGGGCCTGAGTCTCTCTCACCTGAGTTAGGGAGCTGTCCTCGGTAGTCAGCTCTTTTGTACTCTCTGTGTCACCCCAGACTCTGCAGCACTGGTTCCCCTTTCAGACGTCTCTTGGTGCCTCAGCTTGGGATCCTAACTTGAACGAAGGTCATAACCAAGAGCTCTGGTAGACAAAGGCCCTGACCACGGCCCCACAGACTGGCCAGGGCAGGATGGGCCATTGTGGGAGCGTAGCCATCACTTAGCTTGGCAACTTTGCCGTCCCCCTGAAGGAATGTCACCAACACCCGATCTTTCTAGACCTTGCAAGACAAAAATCTAGTCACTGCCTGAGGGCACCTCCAGCTACAC